CCTGGTGCTCTTGTGCTTTCCCAGTTTGATTTACTGCATGTAGCAAGGTTTCACAGCTTTTACCTGCCCGCTTTTTGTGATAAGACAAACCACCTGAAAAAGTATCATTTTTCATTGAGTCTATAAAAATATAGCTCTACTATTTGCCATAATGGAGATTTTCGGGGGGCTTATTGCATTATGGTAGTGCTTTACTATGTCAAGCACCCATTTTGTGGCTTGGTACTGGTTTTGGCAATGCTTAAAACTGATTAGTCTCTGTTCTCATGCAATTCATTTTCTCATGGAGGAAATAGACTGTTATTTTATTGGTTCAATAATTGAACCAATAAGATAACTACAAACTGGGTGCAGAGATACGAAGAAATCAAAGGACTGAAACAGAAAATAATAGGGTGGGGGTCCCACTTCAGGTGGTTGAGGAGGCTTCTCTAAAGAGGGGTGACACGCAAGCTGGGACCAGAAGGCTGAGAGGGAGAGAACTGGAGGGAAAGCATTCTGGATGATAGGAACAGCCTGTGCAAAGGCCCCGTGGCAGCACTGGAAAAGGTTTTGGTTGCTTATAGACCCAAAAGTCCTAGATTAATCTGAAGAAGAAACTGGGGAAGATGGAAGCCCTAGAGCAGTGGTTCTCAACCTTCCTAATGCCGCAGCCCTTTAATACAGTTCCTGTGGGTTGTGACCCAGAGGTTGAGAACCACTGCCCTGGAGCCTGTGGGTAAGAGCTCTGGGGTAAGGCCTGAGCCACAAGTTCAAATTCTCTGTGGGTCAGCCAGCCTAGACTAGGGCCTGCAGGAGCCTGAGCCACAATATGGGGATGGCTCAAGGCAATGACAACTCACTGAGACCATACTCTCATCTTTCTGAACTCAGATACAGTGTGGGCTGCAGGACCCTGATAGCTGGGAGCTGACAAGCTTAAATACCCTCTTCCCTAAAAACTGTGCAGTCTGACCTGGCCTTCTTTCATTCATTTAGCAATGGTTCGTGAGGTCTACTCTGTGCCAAGGACTGTGCTAGGCACTGAGGATAGTGCAGTGAACAAGACAGATATAGCCCCTTCCCTCGAAGAGCTTGTTCTCTCAACAGTGGGGGAAGCAAGAACAAAAAGAAAACAACCTTTGCCCAAAACAAACTCCATGGTTTGGTGGAGGAGCAGGTATTTGGGGGAGGTTCCCTTTCTGAATAGGCTCCCTGAGATTTGGCCCCTTCCTCAGTTTTTCTTCAATAGATCTTTTCTAGTGGATTCTGCTCTGAGACCAGAGTGCCTTGGCCTTTCTGTCCCCTTTCCTGTTGGTGAGAATTTAAACAGAAACACACACACACACACACACACACACACACACACACGTCCCCTTTTAAGGACGTGTTAAGGCCCACCCACAGGCATAGGAACACCCAAACACACATATTTCTCTAATCTCCTTAAATCTCTCAAAGGCTGGGGGTGGTTGTAGCTTTCTGCTTGCCCAGTTAGCTCAGGAGAAGTCAGGCTGGGGGTCTGGGGAGCAGTGATCAGATTTAGCCCGTCAAGCCTGCTTCCCTTGGGTGGGTCCCCGAGTCCCTGTCATTTCCACACCTGGCCTCTCCAGCTGCTGGGAGGTGAATGAATGTGTGCTGGGCAAACATCCTTGCAGCTTCCTGCTGCTCCCTATGAGACAACAGAACTCTTCTTCCTTCTCCTCCTCCCCACACCCTCCCAGCTGGGGCTTCTCTGGGATCCCAAGCCATTTCCCTCTAGGGAAGGCAGAGTGGTCCTTTCTACCTAGCTAGAGGAAGGAGGTAAGAGTGTGCAGACTTAGTGTCTGCAGAGACATGACCTTCTTTCCCTCTGCCCCTTTATTACAGTTCTTGGAGCTCAGATCCTCTCTCACTCATGCCAAGGGGCTGAGGGGTTGTTGGGTACAAAGGAAGAGAGCTCAACGGGAACCACATTAGGAACTGTAGGAGAGTCGGGGAGAGGCAAGGAGAAGGGCCCACATCTGGCAGGAAGGGCAGCCTCTTCTGAGGGATATCTCTGAAAATCTCATAAACAAGATTGCAACAACCTGAAGGTATCCTCACAGAAGAAACAAAGTAAAGCACTGTAGCCCCCTCTAAACACTCAAGTCTCCAGTCTCTGTCCTAGTGAATGCTCATTTCTTACATACTTGTATTCAGAGTGTGCATACATTTTGCTTTTTTGCATAGAACAACAGAGCACATGTTTCTCTGTGACTTTATGGCTTGTGTCTGGATTTTTAAAATTTGTTTCAGAGACAAGGTCTTGTTCTGTCACCCAGGCTGGAGTTCAATGGCTCCCTGTAACCTCCAACTCTTGGGCTCAAACAATCCTTCCACCTCAGCCTCCAGAGTAGCTGGGACTACAAGTGCATGCATGCCACCACTCCCGGCTAATATAGTTTTGAAATTTTTTTGTAGAGCTAGGGCCTTACTATGTTGCCCAAGTTGGTCTCCACCTCCTGGCCTCAAGTGATCCTCCCACTTTGGCTTCCCCAAATGCTGGGATTACTGGTGTGAGCCACTGCACCCAGCCTATCTCTGGATTTTTAAGGATGGTGAATATCCTTCTCCTCATTTTCCAGATGAAGAAGCACACAAATGTCATCCCTACTCATGCTTAACCCTGGAAATATTTTTCTATCCTCATGCAGGATGAAAGGGAGCTGGGAGTGGGGTCAGTATGGGATCCCAGCTGAAAAGGACCTTAGACATGGAAATGGAGGCCCGGGAGTAGGAAAGTAACTTGCTCACGGTCACACAGCAACTAACTCCTAGCTGAGTGGTTCTCATTACCACCCCATCTAGTCCCTGAATTAAGCTAATCATCGATTCTGATATGCAAGGCATTGGGCTATGTTAATTTTTAATTTTCCCACTAAATATCTATAGTAATGCTATGGGAAAGGTTCTAATATCTCTATTTTTCAGATGAGGAAACCAAGGCCCAGAAGAAGAAAAGTTATTTGTCTGATTTGCCCTGCTTGCTGGTGCAGAAACTCAGCCAACCCACATATCCTGATTTCCAGTTCAGGATAACTCTCCTGTCCCCCCTTAGACACCCTTTCCTCTCCCCCTACCTGACCTGGCCTTGCAGGGGCCTGAGGTCAGGAGGCTCTCCATAAGGGCTTCCCCCTTCCCCCACACTCAGTGTCCCAGTGCTGGACACCACTGTCTGTTCGTGCCTCCTTTCCTGTGTTGGACCAAGGCCCAGATGAGCAGCTGGGGATGCAGGGCTGAATGGAGCAGCAGGAAGAGTCTGCGGGCGGCCGAGTTCATTCAGAAGAAAGCCCAACTCAGAGCTGCCAAGGACAGAGGGAAGCTCGTAGGGGGCCCCTACTACCCCTTTTGACTTTGAGGTTTGACAACCCCCTTTGTGTCTGACCAACATCTTTTACCAACTCCAAGAGGGGTGTGCAGATCCCCAGATCCTCGCTAGGTTTATTCCTAGGATCTATGCCAGAACCATTCTTAGAAAGACTTGATCCAATCGTTTTCCATTTTACAGACAAAGAAACCGAGGCCCTGACAGGAGAGCTGTTGTCACAGCCCAAGCTCACAGGGGAAGCAAAATCAGGACTAGAACCGAGGTCTCTCCATTGCCAGTACAAGCCCTCTCCCCTTGGCCTATCTGCAGAATTGTGCTCCCTCTGGAACAAAGAGCCTTCCTCAGAGTGCAAGGTGACCAGGTACAGGGTGATCCTAATGGAGAACAGGGAGACCTCACTTCCCTGCCTCCCTAACTCAGGCTCTGTCCCCCCCATGTCTTGTTTCCCCACCATCAATCCAGTGTCTTGGGACAGTTCAGGTGGAAGTTCAAGACGCGCAAGTCCTCTAAGGATATGGCTCTTTCCTGGCCAAGTTTATCTTAGTCCCAGGAGGGAGAGACCCTCAGATGTTTGGCCACAGGGTGTGTATATATGTGTATGTGGGGGGTGAGGGGTTGCATGGATAACTGGTGGCTCCCTGAAGAGGGGGCGCCCACGAGGTTCCCCAAGCAGTCCACATTTCATCTTGGCAGGCCCTTCTGAACCCAAATATTTTCTCCAGTTCTGAGCCCTGCTCCTCCCCCATCAGAGCCTTAGGGCTGAGCCTGAGAGAGGGAGGGAGGGAAGAAGAGAAGCCACGTTTCCTTAGGGAGGGAGGGGAAGAGAAAGAAAAAGAAAGAGAGACAAGCCCAGAGACAGACAGGAAGACATGGGGAGAGGGGAGATGTAGAAAGTCAGCGAGACATGAGGGGCAGAGAGAGAGGGCAGCGACCTAGAGACACAGGGATGGACAGAAAGGTCTTCCTCTTCCCCAGAGATCACCCTGTGCTGCCTTGACCTCCTGAGCTTCAGGCCCCCCGGGGGGTCTCTGACCTGAGCCCCTATGGCGGCTAGGGCAAGCACCCTTAAGTTCTGGGACTGGTTAAGAACCCGGTTTGGCTTAGACCCCCAGGGGCGTCGGGTCTCTGGCCCTCAGAATACTCCCCTGTGCGCCCCCCAGCGGACATTCAGCCTCGGAGTCACTGAGGCCCAAAGGGGGCGCAGGAAAGGGCGCTGCCACTTTGCGCCCAATCTGGTCCTGGAACCCTAGAGTGAGTGGGAGACGGCTAGAAGAGTGGGAAATGGCTAGAAGACGTTGGCGGGGGCTTGTGTCTCTTGAACTCATATCTGAGGATCAGATGGCCCCAATGCCTCGAAGTCCCTTTCCCCTAAAAGATGAAGGCCAATGTATCCACGGATTGAGCCTTCACGAGGGGCGCGCACTGGCTCAAGCTCAGAGACGCAGGTCCAGTTCGCGAGGTCTAAAGGAGGTGGCTAGGAACCTAGTCGCCCAGCTCAGAGCTCTAAGCACATGTTCCTCCAGGAGACCCTCCACCGAGACACCCACCCCGCCCCGCGCTGTTGCTCAATGATGTGGGGTCTGGTCGTTCTGGGGGCCCATATGCGCCGCGAAGAGGGGTGCCGAAGAGAGGCGCTGAGTGGTGGAATGGGAACAGAGACCCTTTATCTTACCGCATTGTTGAGGAAATCCGACTCGTTCAGATCCCCCAAGTCCAGGAAGCTGGATCCGGGGAACAGCCTGTCGGCCGGGAAGGGTTCCAAAACCGCGTCCATCGCGGTCGGCTCCCGGGACCCCCTTCGACTAGGCTTCCCTCACTCCAGGGCGGCGGCGCGCCCAGCCCAGAGCTCCTGTCTGAGCGCTGGCAAGCGGGCGGGGGGCAGGTCCGGGGCGCAGCCCCGGGGGAGGGGCGTAGGGGGCGCGGGGGCCTTAGGGTAGCGGAGCCGCACGGGCTGGGCTTAGGGGCCCGGGGCGCACGGTGGGCATTTAGCCGACTCCTCCTCCTGCTGCTCCTCCCGGGGCACAGCTGGCTTCCATGGGGAGTCGGGGGGTGGGGCTGAGGGCTTGGGGAGCCCCCGGACAGGGTGGGAGCCGGGGGCGGGGGAGCTAAGCGCTCCCCCGAGACTGGGTGGCTGCTGGCAGCTCCGCTGTCTCTGCACGGCTCCTGTCACTTTCCTCTGAGCGAAACTGGGAACCCCTGGCTGGTTAGCCCTGCTGGCCAAGGCGCCACGCCCCCACATCAATATTCACGATAATTTAATATTAATGAGAAGAGGGTGTGGCTCGAGGAAACATCCCTCCTCTTTTAAAGAGACATCTGCAACCTATTCTCAGTTTTCTCAAACGCTCAAGGTAGGGGCTTAAAGCAAATCGTCCGGAACAGATAACAGTGTTCCTTGGAACACTGGCATCTCGATAAGCCTTTACCAACCACTATCCTATAAGTTGGTGAGGAAGCTGAGTTATTTCCATTCTTCCAGCTTTTATGCTAAAGCCTGAATCGAACCAAATCCAAAGTCAGGGAATTCCATTTCACAGCCCCCTCAACAGATCTTCCCTGATGGTTGGGGAGATTTTCAGCTTCTTAACTCTCCTCTCTCAGCTCACATGTTTCTTCCTCCAGGAAGTCTTCCCTGAACTCCCAGGCTGGAGCAGTTACCAGCCCTATATGCTCTCAGGACCTTGCATGCTTGCCTCCATTGCTGTGAGTCTAATATGATGTTGCCATTGTTTGCTCAAGTGTCCCACTGGGCTGTGAGACTACTCTGGGCAAAGCCTGTCCCAGCTTCTCTGTGTGTGAGCGGGCTGGGGGATAGCTAGAGAGAAGTGAGCACTCTTCTTATCAATCACCAAGTCCAGCAGGGGTGCCCACCTGTGGCTCTCCCACTGCATGTAGATTATGTGAGCACTTTTTTTGCTTATCTGTGATGTCAGATATCATGAAAATCATGCATGGACCTTTTTTGTTTTGTTTTGTTTTGTTTCTTTCTTTCTTTTCGGCTCATCGGCTTTCCTTAGTGTTTGTGTGTTTTTTACTTTTTATTTATTTTATTAAGTCAAATATGCATAGATCATGGTCACAGCCCAAGACAACTCTCCTTCCAATGTGCGATGTGCGGCAGAGAAGAAAACACCCCAGCCCTAATGGTTCTGAAGAGCAGGAAGTTGGAGGACAGTGTCTGTGGAGTCTGGATGAGCCAAGGTGCTGGCTGGCTACACACTCCAGTCACGAGACACTGCCAGCCCCTCTGGCTCCATTACCTGAGTGGCCTGCTTCTGCGTACAACTTAATCTCTTGAAAGGGCTGATAAACAATCACCAAGCACCTGAACAAATGGAGGTGGTTCAGAAAGGCGCTCCCTGGGAGGGCTAGGCACACTGTTTCCTGCCCAGAAGTCATTAATGGGATTAAGTGTGTCCTCTCTGTCTGGGGCTTTTAATTAGCTCAGGAACCAAAAGGCCTTTTAGAAGTGGAGATGTCATTGCAGCTAAGACATGGATGTCATCGAAATTGCTCTCAATCCCAGGGTGGGAGAAAGGATCAGGCTTGAGGCTGAGATAGCAGTTGTTTGCTTGCCTAGGGCGGGCTGGCAGGCACATGGCCTTTCCCCATCTCTTGACCCAGTTGACACAGTTCCGGAGAGTGAAGTTCTGACCCTCCAGGCTGTCACATGAGTGTTAGCTCCCAGGCCTCCTGGAGAGTTTGCTCCTGAGAAGCTAGGATTATAGCCTATGTGCTGGGGGTCATTCTCCAACAGTACAACCCTGAGAAGTTGGGGGAGGGGCAAAAATAAATCAGTTCACTCTCAAAACAGTTGCCAGAAGAATTAGGGGGCTGGGACCATTGGTGCTTTCCTCAGATGCATCACATCTGGCCAAATGGAGAACCTTCCAACACTGATATGTTGCTGATTCTTCTTTGGACAAGGGGCGTGGTCTCTGGCTGGATGAACAAGCCAGTCTGTCATGAGTAAGCTTGTGACAGCAGGTGTCTGGAGTCCACGTTCCCATGCTCGAGTCCCTACAGGCCCCCTCTAGGAGCAAAAGTGCCCCTCTGCCTGAGGTTGGCTGGAAATTGTGCCTGTGTTCCTCTCAGCCTGCTCTGTAATTAGAGACACAGGTACCATTTAAGTGATTGGGGAAGATTATATAGTTTTAGATAAGTAGGATTAGAGTGTCCGCTCTTTCCTTATTGTTACCCAGGTGAACACCCCAGGAAACCATTGAAAATAATCCTGGGGAGACATTCTGGTTCCGGTCCCTCCTGTGGAGTCTGAGTGGCAGGGTCTTCCAAAAAAAAATCATAGGGACAGGGATGGCAGGGGGAAGAAGACAGAACAGGCTATATGGAGCCCAACACCTACAGGAGTGTGAGAACTTTCTTTTGGAATGAAGGGGATAGCAGAGTCCAGCAGAGATGAGGACAACAGGAGATTGATTCACACATTTTATAAGTATTACTGAACAGTTCCCAGACCAGGCTCTGGAGACACAGTGGTGATTAAGAATGTATATCCCAGAGAGAATGTGGCAGCACAGAGGGGGTAGGAGAGTGGGTGGAGGAAAGCATGGATAATTTCAGAGAGTAAAAAGGACCATGAAGAAATAAAAAAGTATGGTGTGACCATGTGTGTATCAAAGGTCTCTCTGAACAGGTCATGTATGAGCTGAGAACTGAATGAAGAACTGGGGTCATGTAGGGAGGGAAAAGCATTCTAGGTAGAGGGAACAGTAAGTAAAAAAGGTAGAGCGAGAAAGGCCTGATTGGGAGAGACAGGCAATGGCACAGGAGTGAGATGGTGGATAAGAAATCCCAATGCCCTAATAAATCTAGTATTAATGGTCAGACTGAGGCTGAGACTCTGTTCTATGTAAGTACTGGGAAGGATCGTGCCCTTGTGAAGCCTTCTGTAGGGTGTGGACAGCAGGCATATCTCTTATGTCATGTATATTAAGGATTTTCTAGGAGAGGGAATGGGATGGCTCATTGGGTCTGAAGTCTGGGTTCTGACCAAATAGGGAGGGTTTGTTCTGTTCCTGCCAGTCTGTAGGCCTGGTCCTATGGCCCAGCCCCTCTCAGTCTCTTTATCTATATCTAAAGGAGTCAGGGGACAGAGGTCAAGGTTGGTTTTGCAAACACCACTTCTACATCCCCAAATATTCCAGGTCAAGGAAAGCACAGACTGCAGCCCCTCCTCTGATGAGCGCAGCAATACTGACTGTGAAGCAACAGCTTTCATGTATAAGGACATCCCAGCACAGTCAGTGACATCAGTGATGCAGAGAAAAAGGACAAAATAAAGTTCCTTGCCTGTCCCAGACACTGAAAATCAGATGGGTCAGGCCAGGCTGAGCTGTGAGCAGGAATGGGGTGTGTGTGTGTGTGTGTGTGTGTGTGTGTAGGGGTGCGGGGCTTGCTGGGGACTGCCACAGTTTCACACCACAGGAGAGTCACTGACCTTTTCTGGGTCTTAGTTTCCACAGCTATAAAATGGGGGAGGTGTTGGTGCTCCCCAGGGTCTTATCCTCTGCAAATGTGTCTTTTCCAGGACAGGGCCTGGGAAGCAGGGGCAGGGGTGGGGTGAGGAGGAAGGGCTTACCCCTCAGGAGGCCTGGCACTCTGATTTTCCAGGCTCCTGCTCAGAGCCTCCAGGAGGGTACGAGGCAGTGTTTACACTCGGCAGGCAGGCCCTGGGTGGTGGTAAGAAGGTCGCCCAAAGTAAACCTGGCTTGTTTGCCTGGATTGTAAAGGGAAAAACTCTTTGGCACACTCTAACAGGAACTTCTGAGAAATGAAAACATATTCATCCTGGAGATTAGGCTGATTTCCGGGGTGCAGACGGGAGCCCTTTGTTCTCTGTGGCTTCCTAAAATGGGCTGCATGGCTGCTGTCTCTGTGCCCCCCACTGGGGCCGGACAGGGAGCCCGTGCAGTGGCACCCTGCCAAGAGGGTGGGGTGGGCTTAGCCCTCTCCTCTTCATCCCCTTGGTCTGTGGTCCCTTCCCTACTCCACCCTGAACCATAAAAATACCTGACATTTATTGAGTACTTGTGCTTTGTGCCAGGCACTAAATACTTACATTATCTCGTTTAATTCTTGGAACAAGCTTGTGAAATAAGTTTCATATTTCACTGATTCTGAGATGCACATTTCTTTGCACTTTTGAACATCTCTGAAGTCAGAATGTCTTTTTTTTGAGAAGAGTCTCACTCTGTCTCCCAGGGTAGAGTGCCATGGGATCAGCCTAGCTCACAGCAATCTCAAACTTCTGGGTTCAAGTGATCCTCCTGCCTCAGCCTCCTGAGTAGCTGCATGCCTACCATAAAACCCAGTTAATTTTTTCTATTTTTTAGAGATGGGGTCTTGCTCTTGTTCTGGCTGGTCTGGAACTCCTGAGCTCAAGGGATCCACCCTCCTCAGCCTTCCAGAGTGCTAGGATTATAGGCATGAGCCAGCAAGCTCAGCAGAATGAGTTTTTTCTTTTGAGACGAAGTCTCAACTATGTGGCCCTTGGTAGAGTGCTATGGCGTTACAGCTCACAGCAACCTTTAACTTTTGGGCTTAAGTAATTCTCTTGCCTCAGTCTCCCAAGTAGCTGGGACTACTGGTGCCTGCCACAATGTCTGGAATTTTTTTGTTGCAGTTGTCATTGTTGATTAGTTGGCCCAGGCTGGGTTTGAACCTGCCAGCCTGGGTCTTTGTGGCTGGCGCCATAACCACTGAACCGTTTTTTTTGTTTTTTTGTTTTTTTTTGACACAGAGCATCACTTGTCG